AGATTTAGTGCCTGATCTTGACTGATAATTTAAGATTAATCGTCAGACCATGCCTGATCATGTAAGACTTCTCATAAGATCTTGGCAAGATTTATCATAAGATCTTGGCAAGATTTTGGAACTTCTTGTCTAATGATCTTGCAAGAACAGGCATGATTAAACATGCAAGATCATTTGTAAGGTTTCATAAGATCTTAAGTAAGATCTTACGTAAGATTTTTTTGCTGGGTATGTATCAGTGATTGTTCGTATATTAATATTGATAACAATGAATCATTGACTGTAGCTTTAGTCTGTAAATTTAACTTAGCATGTGATACTGACAACGATATACTGAGAAAGACAGAGAGAGAGAGAGAAATAAATAATAATAATTATTATGAAATACATATTAGATCATTCACACAAAAAATTCATTAATTTCAATCCAGTAGCCATTCCAATCACAGGGTTAATTTTTTGTAAAATGAAGGCATTATGCTATTGCTATCATTTTGAAACATTGATCAACACTTACAGTGTATTCAGTGCAGTGAGAGGAGTATCACTACCTCTGAGTCTCCTACTAGCAACATAATAACTAGTTAATAACTGATGAGCATCTGATTGTATTGTAACATCAATACTGGAACAAAATAAAAGTATCTGTAGAGTGAAAGAGATAAAAGGAGGAGAAACAAAAGTTTTTAAAATAAATTATTATAATTGAATACCTCAATTATTTCATTATTTTGTTAAAAGAGGGTGTGGATGAGTTGATAAGCTTCTGTCTCTCGTTACTTTATTAATCAAATGAGCAGACATGATTTGATCAACGTAATCATCAGAAGAATCAACAAGTAATAATAAACCAGAGTGACTAAGACACAGAGTAAGGAAAACTTATAATTAAAGAGTAGTACATTTGAGGGTTCAGGTGAAAAGGAAAGGACAAGAAAAAGAATTTAACTAATCAATTACTAACTCCATCAAAGATTTACTTGCACATGTACCAGACAGTTCCTATGAAAATAAATAAAGTATAGCTAGTAATTTTAGACGGAGAATTTTCGGTAAATTGCTAATCAAAATGGCAGGTTTCAAGTTCCAACTACAATGTACATGTATATGGTGAAAATATACTTTCATGCATATATTGGGCAAGAGTAATAAGTATGGGTATGGGGTATATGTTATCGAAAATGGTTGGGAGTTAAGTCTTCATTTTCTATTACATTCTTAATACATGTTACTGTTCTTATCTTATGCATAAAGTTGAGCTGATTCAAATCAAAATTAGAATTTTTAGAAGCTTTCAAAATTGTTAATGCAATAATAATTGTAGCAATATAGGGCTATTACTTTAAAAATTGTCTATAGTTCTAGCAAACTACAATGTGTTAAGTGTTAATGTAATTGATGCCACGTCTAATCAGCCTAAATAATTCCTCACATGTAAAGGTTTATGCATGACATGATCAGTGTTGAGATTAGAGTCACACAAGAGCCACAGTGTACAGTTAAGAGGTACTGTCAATGATGAATTACTGACTGACTTCCTGTTTGAATGTATTGTAATGTAGCCAGACTCAAGAACTATAAATAACAAAATAAATAAAGAAAATAATTATATGGATCCTACCAGTAAAATAACATTTATAGCTGATGGTAAGTACATTAACGATTATGAATTTATTAATAACTGAATAGTTCCTGGATCTGTAACTGACTTGTTAATTAATCAGACTGGTCTCAGTATTTATGTATCATGGAATGAAGTAACTTAAACAATCAATCTACTAATGATTATGTTTCTCTGTATAGCCAGATACTCCAATGCTTCTTCCTTTATTAAACTATATCATACATTTTAATGTCACTGATCGTTATACTAGTATAATAATAGCAGCTCCTACCACTACATACAATATACCTGATGATACAGTAGGATCAATATATACTGTTGGAGTGGCTGCTGTTAATGTATTAGGAACTGGTCCTACTGCATCAGCTACAATAAGTTAGTTACTATAACTATCTCTGCTAATAGCTGAAGTGTCTTTGATTCAGCATTATTCTTATTATTTCTACTATTTTCCTCACTATAGGCATCATTTGTACTTTTGTTCCTACTATTACATCTTTTTCTGTGACACCTACTGTTACCAATAGTGGTAAGTTTATGTTACTTAAATCTACATGATGATATTAATAATAGTTAAAAGTACGAGTGAAGCAACACAATCCACATCAATGACACCTGCATCAACCATTCCTAGTATGTGTTATAACTAAATATTTTTTTTGATTTTTCTGTTTTGTGAAAATTTTTATGATGACCAACAAAATTAATTTGTAAAAACAAGGTATCAGAAAATTTTCATGGCATTTTAAATATGCGCTTGACATTTATCGGTTGGTCCAATATAGATCTAGCTGGAAACACTAGAAACAGGAAAAATACACAAAGGACAATAGTATCTGGGCATACAACTGTTGCTTATTATGTGTGTGCAATAGTTTTTCCTGTTTAAATGAGAATTATACATTTTTATGGGTCAAATTATTGTATTTTGTGGTTTGTTTCTATGAGTTAATTGGCATAATTGACAGTTCACATAGACTATAAGGGGATGGTACTTTGTTTCATTCCAAAATATGTCAATTAAATGAAAATAACTTAGCTTTGCAACTCTATACTTTATTCATTCACAAGGATAGTAAAGTGTATGCAATATTTTGAAAATCACTTCAAAAAGATTAAAATGACAAATACTATTTCTTCATAAGTCACTTGTTGTTGCTGTCCATATGCTGTATGAATTAATATTTAATTTATCATAATATATATGTATGCTGCCTTAGCCTTAGTGTTGTCAAAATTTGATGATAATTTTATTATAATAATTGAATAATATAAATTATAATTTATCATCATTATTATTATAATTTAAGTATTGTTTGTTTTAATGCATATTAGTTCAACTGGTAACTTCCATTAAGATATTGCCTTAGTTTTCTAAAAATTGATTTTTATTACATTTCATGATACATACTACCGTATAGCGGGTTTATTTCAAGGATAACAAATTTTGCAGATTTTTGAAGATTCACATAATTAATTAAATTCCTTGAAAATCAATTAAATACAGTACAAGATGGCAGAAAAGTGGCAATTCGTGAAAATTAATTTGGTGAACCTCTGGATACAGACCATTTGCAGAAATTATTATCCTCAAAATAAACCCGCTATACGGTATTGTTGTTTTAATGCTATGTGAAAGTTTGAGATAATTCTGAGGCCAGATATTGTAGTTATGACCATTTTAAAAAATTGGTCAATTTCTAAAAAATAATGCCCTATACTATATATAGCCCATGCTTTTTCTGAAAAATGGCTCCAAAATCACCCACAAATTTTAATTCATTTTAAAATAAACATTGATGTTACATATGCGTACTCTTTAAAAGTTTGAAGCAATTCAGAATATTACACACACATCTCTAACTTTAGTCACTAAAATGTTTTTACAGCTATCAATTATTACAAATGATTCATATGTTAACTGCTCCTCCTCTGTTTCCTCTTATTTCTTCATAAGCAGGATTAGCATTAATCATTAAAGTGTTAAATTCATATGCCTCATTATGTGCAGTAGGTACCTGTTGTTGTTGCAATGAGGCAAACCCTGTAATAAGTAGTTAATTATAAGCACTACTATACTTACTGTTTAACTTCCTTTTGTTTAAAATAACAAACACTATGAGTGTCATTATTATCAGTAGTAATAATATAATAACAACACCTGATGACGTTGTTAGGACAATAACTATAATAATGTAAAGTATATGATATGCATTATATACATGTATACATCATACTAACCAGTACTGATACTAAAGCTTCTTGAAATAGCTGTGGTAGTAGGGAATGTTTGTGTTGTAGTAGTATCAATAGTAGTAACATTAGTGATGTTAGGAGAAGAAAGATGGTATGCATCTGTCAATGTAATACTTGAACATGTAAACTGTAATTACACATACTTACTGATTGATAATATAAATGGTTCACTACTACCAGCCTCATTACTGAGTACAATACTGATAATACACTGGTGGTTTAATGGTATAGATATTAATCCTGTAATATCATTCATATTCTTTATTTGGTAAGTTGTACTGCTATCAGTTCCATTACATATTACAGTAACTGTAACATATTCAGGAGCTTGACCAACACATTCCAGTATAATCTATAAATTAATAATAATGATTGATGTAATTAATGATATACTGGAATATAGAACTGGAAAATAACCACATTTTGTGTATATGAGAGTGCATCAAGTGATACATTCTGTACAGTTATAGGTACTATAAAATAATAATAAACACAGTGAGTTAGATACATGTACATGTACCTCTTTGATATGAGAATGTATCATTAACCGATACTCCTTCTCCTAATTCATTAACTCCAGTTATAACATATGTATAACGATGAATAAATAAATTATTATCCACAAACTGATAACTGGCATTATATACTGATACACTCCTCAGGAACTGATTGGCAATAGCATCATATATACTCAAATTATAAAACAGTACAGATACTCTATCATCAACTGTAGGAGCAGTCCATGTTATATTAATAGTAGAACAATTGTCAATTGAAGAGTCAATGTTAGTAACTGGTCCAAGAAAACCTATAATACATATACATTAAAAAGATCGAAACTAAAAGATGAGAAAATGTGGTAGTATACTTACTAAACCCAAAAGATGACATGTCATCATTAAATTTTCCTCCATTATTACTCAGTGATACATTAAGGGTAAATGTATTTAAATTAGTTACCAAAGTACTTCCAGTTACAATCATCAATTGATTGTTATTAACTTGTATCGGTATACTGGTATTGCTTATTACTGTGTTATCAGTACTCAGTATATTAATTGTTATACTATTAGGATACTCTCCTTTACATATTGTACTGACCTATGAGTGAATGAGTGTGTGTGTGTGTGTGTGTGTGTGTGTGTGTGTGTGTGTGTGTGTGTGTGTGTGTGTGCATGTAGGAATGCATGGATCATTATTTACTAGAGTATACATACTTCACCATTTTACTGTTGTCCAAATACTTACATCAATGCTAATATTCAATAATACTTTTTGCCCATCAATTACTGGTGCCACTGATACAGGAGGAGTAATGAGAGGAACTGAAAGATACACTGTTAACATAATGAAGCCATAATAATGCTAACCTGTTTCATAATAAAAACTGATATTATTAGATGAGCCCATTCCAACATCATTAATAGGAGAAACTGATACATTATTTAATATACAAGGATCAGGATTAGTAGCTGATAATATAATACTCTTGTTAGTAGTAGTAACATTTACTAGTCCATTGACTATATAGTATCCAGTGATAGGTACATTATCCAGTGTATAAGGAGCTGTCCAAGTTAGTAATATACTGGATCCATTAATAAAGGTATCATTCAGATCACCAACACTATCCAATACACCTGAAAAGTGAATAAAAACATAATGA